TGTTGTTGTGTGCCTTTAAGTCATTTCCAACTTATGATGACCCTAAGGCCATGAGGGATTCTTGGCAAGTTTCTTCAGAGGAGGTCTGTCTTTGCTATCCTCTGAGGTTAAGGCTTGAGCATGACTTGCCTAAGGTCACTCATTGAGTTTCCATGGCTGAGCCGGAATTCGAACCCTGGTCTCCAGAGTCATAGCCCAATGCTTAAACCACTACACCACACTGGCTCTCTAACTTAGGGGGGTTGCAGACTGCCAGAAATAGTGCAAATTGAGTCCACTTTTAGGGTTAGGGTTAGTGCTAGGGAATCATGGGAATTGTTTTTTTTTTTTTTTCTGAGACATTGAGCCCAGAAGCCTTAGCCATGTTGGGCAATAGTCCCATGTTGGCCAGTAGCTCCTGGGATTCTGGGAGCTGAAGTCCCTTGGCCCTTAAAGGGGAAAGGTTGCCTACCCCTGTTTTATCTGAAGAGATCTGAAGAATAAGAAAAACTGTATTGTCTGAAGATGCACACAGTCTTAGGTCTAGCCACTGGCATCTCCAGTTCAAGGAATTTGTGGCATTGTTTCTAGAAAAAAAAACTTCAACCAGAGGTCTTGAGCAGCAATTTAATAAGTTTGTAATAGAGATGGCTGGTGGCTCTCATGTCAATGAGACAATGAAACTACTCTGGTTTTTAATCTCAGCTTTAAAGGAGTTTTTAAGGTACTCAATCCTCAAATAGGTTCATCATCTTGGATATATCCTTAAGAGTTCATATTAAAACCTGCAACAGATTAAGCCCTCTCTAAGATGTAGACTACAGTCACCAGTAGACTGCCCTGTAATGTGTCCAGAATGTCTGTCATGACAATTTGTTCAAGTTTAAACCTTTAAATGCAATCCAAATCTAGTTTTTCTGGTACACTGGGCCCTTTCTATACACAAGAGATCCATTTCGGACATCCTCGCATATGGGAAAAACTGTGGGACCTCAAGTTCCCATTGATTCTAATGGTGGCACACTCCCACACATGCCATTTTGTTGCACCAGGGCTTACTGTCTGCATGACCTCAAGTCTGCATATGGCAAGCCCACGTATGGGGTGGGTGGACTATATTCTAATCACTACAGGTTTTTGCCACAGTGCTGTTTACAGCCCCACCTTGAGTTCTGATAGGATGAATCAATATGCCACCTAGAGAAGTAATGAAAATGTTTGTCCCTCATAACATTTAAACCTGTTCTAGACAAATCTAGGGGGATTATATAGCAGGAAACTAATTTTGCACTGACCCTCTCAAATGGACAACATGACCTGTTGTAATAGCCCTTTCTTCTCTTGTATTTGTAAGAGATTTTGAAGAAGCTGATCTCCCATAAAGGCTGGTTCCACAGTGGCACAATCACAATTGGAGCTTGTTACAAGATCCTCTTTAATTGCTTTCTTTTCTCCTTTTTAGCCCTCCTGGCCTTTCCATGTGTTTGCCCATTGGTGTTGAACTTGATAACAAAAATGATTTTGTTGTGAGCCAAGGCAGGACAGAGTGACATGAAGGGAAATAAAATGAAACAAAGGATAAGACAACAAATTGCTTATTGACACAGCTGATGTGAATGGTACAAAGTGAAAGATGTCAACATCAGCTAGGGAAGATTCCTGTAAAGCTGAGCCAGGAAACGAACATCTCTCTCTCTCATTCTGTTGGTCACTCCAACTCTAGTTTCATTTGAAACCATTCCGACCTTGTGACTTTCATCCAATAAGAATGTGAATGTGTTTTACCTTGCCATTTAAGTTCCTACTGAGTACATGTGCCTTCAAGTCACCTGTCAACTCAGTGGTGTCTCTAGGGTTGGTGACACCCAAGTGTAGTAATGGAAGTTGTAATTCCCCAGAAAGGCAGCAACCCAAGGGGAGTTAACATGGAAAGAGAGCAAGAGGGGAGGGGAAGAGTCAGCAGCAAGAGAAGCAAAAGCAGTGGTGTCACTAGAGTTGGCATCACTCGATGTAATTAACTCATGGTGTCACCACCTCCACCACTCCCCTTGACCTCATCCCAATTGTTGTTGTTAACTGCCTTCACATCAGTCTCGACTCACGGAGACCCTATGGATAAGACATCTTCAGGCCCCCCTGTCCCCAACTGCTCTGCCCAGCTCCTGGAAAATCATATTTGCAGTCTCTTTAATAAAGTCCATCCATTCAGCATGTGGCCTTCCTCTCTTTCTGCTTCTCTCCACCTTTCCTAACATTATTGTATTTTCCAACAATTCATGCCTTCTCATAATGTGTCCAAAGTATGACAGTCTAAGGGCCGGCCTGGAGGCAGAGATGGAGAGGGGCAGCCGCACACTGGCCACCCCAACCCCAGCCTGACAATGTCGTGACTCCGCATGCCATCACGCACAGTGCGTGACATCAGGACATCCTCCCAGCACAGCGGCCTGATGCACTGTGCTGGAAAGGGCACTAAAGAGCCATGTGCCAGCTCTTAGGGCACCCTTTTGCCACCCCTGAAAAGAGCAGCATTTTGCCACTCTTTCAGGGGTGCCAAAAGGGAGGATTGGGGCCGTGGCGTGCAGTGGCCACAGCCCCAATCTGCGGCTAGCAGGGGTGGTCCAGAGCTGCCCATCTGCAGCCCCCTAAATCTTGTCATCTTGGCTTCCAGGGATATTTCTGGCTTGATCTGTTCTAGGACCCATTTGTCTGTCCCTTTGCCTGTCCATGGGATCTTCAGGACTTTTCTCCAGCACCACATCTTAGATGCATTGATTTTCCTCCTATCTTCTTTCTTAACTATCCAGCTCTCAC